TTCGGGTCTGCTATTGCTTCCTGCCTAGGTGTCCTTTGATTAATCCACGAAGCATCTTGAAAGGTCAGGTGAATAAAAGTACTATCCCAGCGATTGAGTCGTCTTCTTTTCGATTCAAGGATTCCTCTCACAAGTAATTTCTCCCAGTATAAAAAACTCCACTAGGATGGTCCTCTCCATCTGCCAGCACAGACCTGATGCTCGATCGTAGCATGTTGCCCGCTTTTGAGCGATGGACCAAATCGAGGATCAGGCTGGCTCAACGGTGTTCGCTAAATCTGCGCAAGGCCATAAAGGTTGCTTTATATGATGTTGTGGTGTTGTGCATTCTACGTCGATCTTCCTGATTGGCTTTGACGCCGCTGATGTAGAAGAACCGACTTGGGCTGCTGGTTGTTTGGTTTAATTTTGACGACGTGCGTTCAGGCCCTTTCTGGAGCGTCGTAAACACTGACTAACAGGCACAGCCCGCGTTGCCTGGTGCATATGAGAGTGGAGCTGACCCCGGGGGAATTCGACCACACGGCAAATAAGCGGAATTATCGGTGTTATAAATCGGTCCGGGCTGGATCTATCACGCCTGACACTAAGAGTCGTGGCTTGAAAGGTTGCATGTGGCATGCGCTTATCGTTAAGTCTGCGCGAACTTATAGATACTGTTGCGTGTGATGGCACTTCGGCTGCTTCACCTCATCTCATTACCAGCAGACTGACAGGTTCGTCGGACAGCCAACTGGAAGAGGAAAGAGTAAGGTTAACAGTGGTGAGTCCACCGCCCATCAGCGCATTCTTCATTTTCATGCGTTGGAACGTTTCGTGCCGTGCTCGAGGGGCTACAAAGTGACAGGATAGCTGAGTCCGCTTCAGGACTGAAAGTCAGACTACACTGGTGCGTTTTCTAAGTCGGTTTTCCTGATTGGCTCGGACGTCGCAGGGATAAAAGGACTGACGTTGGCTGCTGGTTGTTGGGGTTAATTTTGCCGGTGTGCGTTGGTGCACCCTCTTAAGGTGGACGTGCTGTAGACGCAGACTGCGTCGGCCGGTGCATGTGACAATCCGCTGATCCCGGGGGAATTCCTCCACGCCGCAAACCAGCGCAATTACCAGGGTCATCAATCCATCCGGCCCGAATCTAGCACGCATTACGCTTAGAGCGTGGCTCGAGAGTTTGCATGTAGCATGCGATTATCTAGTCGCGCTCAGTCTGCACAATGGCATGCCCCATACCTCTGTCTTCCTGGCACGTCAGGCATTGCGCCCCATCTCATCACCAAACAACTGGCAAATTAAAGAGGCAATAGTGGGGTCAATCGTGTTAAACCCAGCACCGTTGCCCATCAGCGTATTCCTCACTGTAACGCGTTTGAATGTATTACGACGTGCTTCGAAGTCTACCAAGTAATGGGACAACTGGGTCTGCTTCAGGACTGAGTGTCGGACTGCAATGGCTTATTGATTTGGCCTTTATCGTTCCTCACCCGTCGTAGATCTGAGCTGTCCTTACGGTAGCCTCCTAGACTAAAGCAGATAAGGTCGCTGGGATAAGCATTTTCTTCGTCAGAAGTTTCGAAATCTGTTGCAGACCCATCATCAGATAAAATAGCAGAAACGGGTATCTGATGATGGATCCACGAGGAACTTTGAAACGTCCGACGGATAAACTTCTTCTCCCAGCGATCACATCTGCTTCTTCTCGTCTTGAGACTAGAACTTTCACTTGTATTGTCT